TAATTTATTTTTAAATAATTGAATTCGTTTAGGAAAATTTTATTACATTAGTAATATTGAAAATAATTAAAATTAGGACAAGAATTTTATTGTCATTTTTGAAAATAATTGAACTTTGGTGAAAAATTTTGTTATTTACAAAGATAATTGGGTTTTTGACTTGGATTTTTTTTTAATTTTCAACATAATTGAATTCTATGAGAAGAATTTTATTACTTTTGAAAATAATTGAATTTCTGTAATTATTTGTAATTTCTCAAAAATTGAATTTTTTCTTCATGTTTTATAATAATTAAAAATTTATGAAATTAATTTAATTATTGCAAAGAAATTTATTTAAAAAATTGTAAATAATATTGAATTCCTGGGAAATTTTTATTATTTTTGAAAATAATCAAATGTTTGTGTACAATTTTATTAATTTTTTTTCAAAAATAATTGAATTTGTTTCGGTAAATTTTATTAAAATAGTAGATATTGAAAATAATTGAAATTAGGACAAGAATTTTATTGTCATTTTTAAAAATAATAATAATAATAATAATAATAATAATAATAATAATAATAATAATAATAATAATAATAATAATAATAATAATAATAATAATAATAAAATAATAATAATAAAATAAATAAATAATAAATAATAATAAATAAATAATAAAAATAATAAATAAGTTAAATATAATTCTTAATTAGTTCTAAAGTGTATTTTTAGCTTTCTTTCCATTGTAAAGAAAAGAAAATTTAAATTCAAATAACAGCATAAATGAAACTTATCAAAAGCGACAATCTGCTTAAAAAAATTCGCCAAGACAAATTTTTTTTTAGTTGATGGTCAATAAAGTACTCTTGGCATTTTTGCCCTTGATCGTAACTCTACTTGATTCTAATCTTTATTAATTTATGATGGCTAAAATAATTGTGCCAGGAGTAAATTTCAGTAATGCAATCAACTTATAGAATATTTAAATATTTTTCCTATCATTATAAAATTTATTTATATTATTTATATTATTATTATTTAAATTATTATTATAGGTATAATTATTATTACATAATATAATTGATATATTATATAATATATTATATAATAAATAATAATAATAATAATAATTATTATTATTATTAATTTTTATTTTTATTTTAATTAAAATTTTTTTTTTGAATAATAATAATTTTTTTTAAAAATTATTTAAACAATAATTATTATTTTGTTAAAAGTCAGTTTTTGGATCTTAATATAATTTGTAGTAGTTGTATTATCATTATTATTTTTTGTTACATTAAAAAATAGTGTATCATGAATTATTTAAATATTGTGATAAAAGTAACAATTTAATTGCAAAATTGTTCTTGTCAGGTGAGACCTTTGAGTATAGTGCGAAGCTTGGGAAAATTAAAGCAATATTTCTTTCTAATGCTTTTAGACAGCTGCGCAAAAGAACTTCCCTTGAGAACAATTATAACAAACGCAGCGTTTTTCAAAGTAGTTGCAATTACACTTTTAAAGCAATTTTAAGTGAAATTCTTTTTATCGCAATATTAGTAGCCTGTAAAAAAATTTTACACTATTTTCTTTTAATGTAACTGACTTTAGTGGTCTAATTAAAACTTGTTAGAATTATTTTAAATGTTTTATGTTGAGGGTAAACTCTGTGAAGAGATACCACGATGCACTCCCTTTGCGGAAACTTCCTGCTATCTTGGAGAGACTCATCGACCTCCACGTCCGAACATACATGTTCACGTGCCCTTGTATATCATAGACGTCGCATCAATGCTCCGGCAATGCTATAACGTCTATGTAACTAACGGAGGCGGTTCAGGGCCCATCTTGGCCAGATGGTAGTACCCTGTTAAGGCCCGATTGTCCCTCGACACGGGACAAAGAAATAATAATAAATGAATGAAATGGACAAAATTTTAAATGAAATACTCAAAGTGGGTACCTCGAAAGAGGGTAATCCCACCACCGATTCTGATCGGGTGCAAGCCCCGATAGTCGGTGCAGATGGCTCCAAGGATTTTGGAGAGAGCCAAATAGATAGCCAGCTGACATGCTACGAATCAAATGTCGCAAATCAGTTCCTGGCTATTCCCGGAATTTTTAAGAGCGTGCACCAGGCTTTCAAGCGCCAAAAGAACGTCAGTCGTGACATCCAGGATGGCGTGGCGGTTTTGGAGAGTGCGTTCTATACAATTTGTAGGAATCTGCGTTCTATCCCTGAACCGTTCAGGGATCAGGAGCCACGGACTCCAGCTGTAGGAACTCCAAGGCAAACGAGGAGTGCTGCTGCAACTTTGGATAGTGCTGCAGATACCGATTCTAAAAAGGCAAAGAACGTAAGTAAGCGCCCCAGAGAAGGTGTAAGCCCGGATAAGAGTCCTCAACAAGCGACTCGGAGCGGAAAGAGGATTAAGCGAAAGGAAGAAGAAGAAGGGTTACGGGTTTTAGTGGGTCGGGCTGGTAGTAGATCGCCAGTTTATTGAATTTATTATAACATTTATTTATTTATTTTTTTTTAATATTCCCTTTTGTTTCATAGTACCAACCCCACATAACCTTGGAGTGCGGAATCCAAGGTATCTGTAGTCAGATTTCCCAAAATTCTCTAAGCAAAAAAAAAACAAATTTTATGTTAAAAATTTTTCATTTTATTATTATTATTATTATTATTATTATTATTATTATTATTATTATTTCATATTATTTTATATTATTTTATATTATTTAACATTATTTTACATTATTTTATATGTATAAAATAACGTTTATTAATTAACATGTTATTATAACCAACATGACTATTATTAGAATAATTAATAATTAATTTGGAACTTTAACTTTAACTTTTTCATTGATAATTTAAAATGGTCACATTAAGAGAAAGGATAAAAAAAAGTATTCCATATTTTACTGTTCGTTTAAAAGCCATGGATTGAAAAATGGCACAAATGTTGAAAAAACAACGTTTTTTATCCTATAAACCCAAAAAATAAAAAGAAGCCTGACGGATTAAATTCAACCGTTATAAAACGTGTACATACATACATATATATATATATATATATATATATATATATATATATATATATATATATATATATATATATATATATATATATATATATATATATATATTATTTGGGTCGCAGATGCTGTTTAAGATGAAAAACATAATAATACGTTTCTCTCGCGGCAAGAAAAAAGAATATGGACCGATTTCTTTATTTTAAAGTCTACATCAGACGCACTTTAATTATAATCATTATATTTCACATTATTTACCAATTTTAAATGCAAATATTTTCTTTTCGATAAAGTCAACCGCAAGAATTTACAAAAAATATCCATTCTTACAAATATTTATTTGAAATGAAATTTAAAATACTTTTTTTAAAGTAAAAATTATTAATTTTGTAATAATTGATTCGAAATAACAATTAATATTGAAATTATTTTGTCAAACGATGAATTTTTACCATTTTAGATCAGAAAAAAAGATCATTCAAAAAGGTGATTCAGAACGGATAAAAGGATTCCAATTGAAGGGGAAAATTTTCCTCTGGATTCGGTGAAATTAAACGAATATGTAGTTCACGTAGACGAAATTGGTAAATCGTGTGCAAAAAAAAGGTTGTAATAAAGATAAAACGTAATATAACAAGAAAATTGATTTTAACTTTAAAAAAAAATGTATTATTGTTGATGAGTTTATAATTTTGTTGTTGTTGTTAACAGTGTAATAGAATCGCGCTTTTGAAAAAGTTTCAGAATATTACAGGAATAGTGGAACAAATTTCGTAATGAGTTCGACGTGAGCTTGCAGTTTCCTTTTAAAGGGGAAAGTGAATTAGTTTCAGGAATCAAAAGCAACCACAAACAGTGCGGAGACGAAATTTTGAAGTAGTTGCAACATGTGCAGTAAATTTCACAATTGTATAGAAATGTTGTCGATTTGATTTATTTTTAGAAAATTGAACGCAAAGATTTGTTTTATTTATTCCAGTAATAAATATTTGGCTCCTTATTTCTAGTAGAGATAGTATTTCTGTTCGGAATTAGTTTGATGAAGTTTAAATTTTAAATGAGAACGGATTTCTAAGTTGTCCTTAGGGAGCAGATTCTCATCGTCTGAGGAGAGCCGTACAAACTAAACATTTGAAGTGCAACTTATTTATTAAATGGGTAAGACAAAAAGCTAGATTATCTTATGATGATAGAAGTCGAAATAGGAGATAATAGTTGATGAAAAAGTTATAAAGAAACATGAGTTAAAATTTGAGAAAAGTTGTCAGGTTTTACAAAAAAGCAGATTAAGAATCAAACCATATCATAAAGATGAGTCAAAAAGTCAACTTAAACTAATTTTTCATTCTTGTAAAAATATTGTAGGTCATTCTTTTGTCCTGATGATGATACCCACTCATTGAATCGAAAAGTTGGTACTCTAAATAAACATCATTATTACTAAATTACATCTGTGGTAATTAGTAATTTCTGGATCCAAAAAAGGCAAAATTTATCCTGTATAACATAAACTTCTTCATCCTCTATTCATTTACCGAGTGATAAATTCGCAAATCTCTATAATTATTAATTAAAGAAAATTCAAAATTGGATGAGGAATTGGTTCAGGAAAAAGCAATTAGGAAAATAGGATTAGGAAAAATGACTATTAAGAACGTAGCTCATTAGGAATATGCAATTAGGAAAATCGTTCGGGAACTGATATTAATGAAGTGTTCAATCATTGCTGACACGAATAGTTTGGGTTCACCATTCCGATCATAACTCCAATTAAAACATATCAAGTACACCTATATCACTGGAAGCACTAACCTTCATCAAAAACTGAATAAATCAAAATCAACAAATTCAAGTTGAACTAAGTCTAAGAGAGTACCCCCAAAAATTGGCGGTACGAATCTTGGTTTTACAATCAGGACACTTTTCCAGATTTGAACCTAAAAAAAAAACAAACGGGAAAACTCACCAAGCATTTTAAGAACTCTTCTAGAAGAACGACCGGCACAAGTTCTTTGTCTATCGATGCGGCTCGAACCAGCAGTGACTCGACTATTTTCACTTCGTCCTCGAACTCTCTTCAGTGCATTCGACTTTCTTAATTTCAAGCCAATCAATGCATAGAGAATTGTAATCAATGTCATTGGCACAATGAAAAATAAGAATGTCGACAATTCAAAGGAATGACGAAAAATAATAAATTTCATCATACACATCACTGATTCTGGACCATGTGTTTCGACAAGTCCAAATTGTAATGCCTGCGGTACGGCAAATGACAATGCAATTAGCCAAATGGCTAATATTAATTTTACAGCTCTCGCTAATTTTGACATTGTATGCGATAAAAATGGATGACATATCGCAACATAACGTTCAACAGTGAATGCAGTTATTGTTAATACTGTTGCATTTGTCGATGTTTCAGCTGCTAATCCACGTATTATACAAAAACATTCGCCAAATACGTAGGGATATTTTAACCATATTAACCAGATTTCAGGTGGTAGGCCAGAAATAAGAAGCAACAAGTCGGATATTGCAAGGCTAAAGAGATAATAATTTGTTGCCGTGTGCATTGACTTGTTGCGCGCAATAACAATGCACGTGCTAACATTGCCAATTATTCCGGTAATGAATATTGAAATATAAACAATTGTTATTGGTATAACAACGTAAAGTGTATCTCGACGTGGTCCCGTTAAATCATATTCCTCATTAACATCATTATCGGAAATGTAGTTGTCAATTGTTTTATTCAATTCGTTATTAATTATTGTTTCCCAATAATTATTGGTCTCAGTTTTTGTATTCATTGACCATGAGTCGGTGGTTATTATCTTCTCGGCGTTGTTCATCTTTTCTTTTATCGTTTTACTGTCCACTCTTTTTGTTTGTGAATAGAAAATTAATTTTAAAGATCTTTCGATCTTTCTGCTCTTCGCTGCTTATTGTACATCTTTCCAGCTTTCTTAATTTTTTTCTGTTTTGAATTCTACTTTTCTTGTTTTTAGTTCACATTCATGTACATTTTCTCTCTTAGTTAATTAATTAATTAATTAATTTATTAATTATTTATTAATTACTTAATAATTATTTATTAATTATTTATTAATTACTTATTAATTATTTATTAATTATTTATTAATTATTTATTAACAAATAATTTATTTATTCACTTTTATTATATATTTCTAGTAAGTCATTGTTTTCTCCCTTATTTTCTCCTTAAGTATTTTTCACTTTGTTGTACCTTGCACATTACTTATTGTTCCATTTATTACTGTAACTTCTAATGAATTGTTTTATTTTCAACTTCATTATTTCATTTTTAAATTGTTCTATTTTTCCTTTTTAGTAATTTCTAAATTCAAAAAATTTTTTTTGTTTTTTGTTAAGTAGCACTGTAGATGGCGACACTACTTGCACTCAGATTTTACAACCAGTGAACTTTAATAAGTTTACTTAAAGTTTCGAACTCTTCTTTTTAAAATAAATAATTTTTGCCTTTATTCTTTTCTTTCAATTTCAACTTTTCTCACTAACAACACTTTTTAACACCACTTGAAATTTTTTTTTTTAAATTTTATTTCACTGTTGGACACAAATTAAAAATTAAAATTTTTATCCATTGTTTTCATGATATTTTCTTTTCGTTAACTTGATAAATTTTTAATTTATAAATTTGTTAATTTCTCTTTAAGAAAAGTTCCCACTTATTAATTTTTATTTACTATTAAATATTTTTATATTTTTTTCAGTTTTTAATTTCTAGGATTTTCAAATTTTTGTTGTTGTGAAGTATAAAATTAATTTAATATAGTTTAAATTTATTTTATAAATGTTGTTTTCGATTTTTTAATTATTTATTTATTTATTTATTTTTTGTTAAGATGAAAAGAATTCTTTGAGAAATTTCTGAAATTTTTTAGTAATGAAAATTATGCGTTTCATTGAGAATTATTGACGGAGGGTATAAATAAAATTTCTCGCAAAAATTGTTATGGAGTCTGTGAACAACTGTAAGTTGACCGGTTTTTTGATGCATGCGTTCATGCGAAGCGCGGAAGAATGACTCAAATCGTCTCTCAATCCACGTACTCTGATCAACCCTTGAGCGCGTGTCTTCTTCTCCCACCCAAAAATCGCAAACGCAAACTCCCACCCCCATTGATATCGAACATCACTTTAAGAATTACATTTAATCTCCTCCTCTTTGTAAAGTTGTAATCTATCACTTTTCTTCTAATTTGTTAAGACATTTTTTTCTTTTACCTTTTTTGTCTAATTTATTTTTTAAATTTAATATTTTTGCAGAAAATAAAAATATTTTTAGTTAAAAAAAACAGGAAAAAAGTAAATTTAGAAATTAAATTTTTTTTTAAATTTGTTGCTGGTGTTAATAAAACACTTTTTGTTTCATAAAAAGAAGAAAACAGTTAATTTATTAAGGAAAGTAAAATTGGTATTATATTTTTTTTTGTGTTTTGAAAAATATAAAAAATTATGCTAAAAAGTAAATTATAATTTCCATCGACTTGTATATATTTACTTTTGTGTTTCTTTATTTTCGTATAATGTCGTAAAAATATTTTCCGTTACATATTTATTATTTCTGCAAACGTCTTATTATTATTTAATTTGATTATTATTTTCCTTATTGAAATAAGATATTTGTCTTATTTTAATATTGGCACGTCAGGAACATATGTGTTGAAGATATGTAAAAATTTTAAATTTCGAATACATTTCACAACGCCGGTAGTTTTTTAATTAACAAATTGCTAATTTTTAACTTTGTTCAATATTATTATTTTACAGAAAGAAATAATTATTTACTACGTAAAAATATAATAATTTCCTAAGGGAGAATAATTATTTTCCATACAGAAATATTTATTTACTATTCAAAAATAATAATTTACTAGAGGAGAATTATTATTTTCCATACAGAAAGAATTATTCTCTTCGTCAATTATTTCTCTCAATTTTACGATTTATCTTTATTACAATACCTTTTCTAAGGTGGAATCTTGAATAACATCTGAAACAGAATGAAGAAGAATTTAACGTCCCCTCGAAAACAAGAATCAAGTTGCGAGTAAATTATTACAAACGCTGTGGCGAAGTTTCTTAAACACACAATAAGTATGTTATTTATAAACTTTGCTCTATGTAGGAAATGTAAATTAAATTGTGAAAATTAATTAAATCAAGTAACTATAGAATCAACTCACCCATTCTTTGGAAAATGCGTTGAAACTCCAGATTTTTGTATCCACTATAAGCGTAATTTTTTTAAAAATAATATTAAGTTTATGAAAAATAATTAATATTTTCGTGAGTTTTAAAATAATAAATTTTTCAACGTCATACCAAAGATTTACGAAGTTTACCCAAAACGTCAGCCCATGGCGTGGGATTATTATTTTTATCAATTTCTATCAATTTTTATTTTTTACATTCTCATCACACGAGAAAGTATATTAGTTTTTTATAATAATTTTTATAATATTTATAATAATTTTTTACATTCCATGTACTTAGGTACCCCTTACAAGTAATCAACTGATGAAGCAGGCATTCCAACCAGCTTGACTCGTCAAGCTTCTCTTACCCTCCCCTCTTTCAAATAAACTATCTCCTCTCTCCACAATAGCAAGTGGTACTGCAAGATTTCGATTCATTAATTCCAAGATATAATTCATGTAGTTAAGGCAATAATCCTAGTGGCAATGGTTCAAGAAAAAAATTTCATTAGTAACAAAACAGCGATAATATGTTCGCCTTTTTCATATTAATGAAATTTTTTGGTTAACTCACTTGTCATCAGGATTCTTAACGGAAATTATCTTAAACTAATATTATGAGTATATTCTTTCATTTATCTTTAATGAGATGATGATCTTTCCCACCAGTTTGGAAGTCAAGATGTGCATCCTGCATTCTCTGTTTCCTATGAGAAAAAGACAGCCTTATAAAAAACGCTTGAAATTCCATAATTATTTTTTAATAAACAACGAGTCATTGGCAGGGGCTGAGTCTACGACTCTAACAATAATTTTAAAACGTAAGTAAATAACTAATACTTTTAATTTTGTCCTCATTTTTTTATTTTATTTATTCAAAATTGTTGTTCCTATAAATACTCATTTAAATTTTTCCCAGTAGCACGTAATATTACAGCAATATTAAGAACAGTGCCTTAACATTACCAATATTGCCTCAATGTTGTTGATGTTACTGGAATACAGCTGGAATGTTCCCAACATTACGTGCTACTCGAGTTCGTTCAATTCCACAAAGTTCTAATTTTGTTTCAGTGTGTCTGAAAACATGTGGATCTAGTCTTTCTCTCTCATTCTAATTATGTAGGGTAGAGGAACCCAAGGTGATCACCCTAGGGAAATTCTTGTGCATTATCAGGCAGCACTGGATGCTATCGATTATTTTCATTGTGAAGACGAAGTTTTTAATTATGTTTAGACGTGTATAACGAAACACGTTTGTTTCTAACAGAGACATCGTTAAATTTTGGTAAAAAAAAATTTTGAAAGCATTGTTTTTAAAGTGATCCTGTGGTTACAGTTTATAGTTTTAAAGTTCAAAACTTTGTGGTTATTTTGTTTACTGTATATAATACAATAATATTATAAATGAATATCGATAAATATAATATATATCGATAAATATCGATCAGACACACTGTGGCTGAACCAAAAAAAAGTTTGCTAAAAATGGATCCAAAATTTGGTTGTTAGAGATGTTTGTGCATCATATCAGAAGTAAAAATCCATTGAGATCAAAATCCTAGCTGATAAAAAAGAACATTCATATCATACCATATTATGCATTTAAAAAATTTGAATAATTTTTAGACTGAGAAATAGATTTAAAACTTTGAAACGGAGCAATATTTATAAAGATGTCTCCATGAACCATAATCAATATAATTTAATATAACGCATTTAAAAGTGATGAGTTAAAAATTCGACAAGTCGTATAAATTCGAATGAATATTTTTCACCTTTGAATTAATTTCATAGTATTCTGAAGTTTTAAAAGTCCACAATCTTTGACTAATATTAACCAATTTTTTTTCATTGAGGTTTGTTTTTAAATGTAATTACATATATTTACATACAAAAATATTTAAGATACTTTTTGCGTGATACAAATTTTTGAAATGTTTTGTAAAAATTTGCATGTCAATATATATTGATAACTCGAAAAATTTATCAGCTAGGATTTTGATCTCAACGGATTTTTACTTTTGATATGATGCAGAAACATTTCCAACAACCAGATTTTGGATCCAAATTATTAATAGATCCAGATATTATTAATATTATTATTTCTGTTAATCAGAAAGCAAACATTACATCAAATTTTAAAAACATTACAACAAACATTACATCAACTCTTTTTGTATATATGCGTCCCATCTAGCCCTTCTGTTCTCCGTTCTCATTGCTTGCCATGTCCATAATTATAAATATAATTAAAATTTTCACTCATTCCTCTCTCTATAATTATCGTTTTAAATGGATAGCAGACATATTCTCAATGACAATATGGAATAAAACTTTTCTATTAAAACTTAAAGTACTTTATGTAATGAATATATGTATAAATGAATAAATCGCAAAATTTTTAATTAATATTTTAATCTAAAAAAAGTAATTCTATTAAAATTAAATAATGATATACATTATAATAATTCCACATAATATTATAGATAATATAATTTTAAGCCTATAGGAATGAAATAGTGTAATTAAATAAATTATATAATTATATAATATAATTATATATAATTTAATTAATTTCATCGTAAATTTAAATATTATTTATCTAAATCCATCAAATCGTTTTTTTTCTAAATTTCTAATTTAAATTATACGAGAATGAGTGATTTTAGTTTTGTAACTAAACTTTAATCAATTTTTTACGAGAATCCGATTCCTTCTCATTTAATCGAATTTTACTATTTATGTAAAATATAATATTCAAAATCAAATACTGGATCGGAATATTTTTATTTTATAATAAAAAAACACGTTTCCAATCATTTGAAGCCAACAAAATCAAAAGTTTCACTCTAAAAGTAGTTAGAAAATTTTATTTTATAACTCAAACCCGTCAAGTTATGTCTGAATAAAAAATAAATTATTAAAAAATATTCTTAAAAATTTATTTATATAAATTTTCGTTGATAACTTAATTTTTTTAATTTGATTAAAGCTCAATAAAAAAAAATTGTAATAGTATTTAATAGCAGTTAATTAATTTCTAAATAAACGCAATTAAGGATTTTTTTTTATTTATATTCATGTCTCGGTAAATAAAACCCTTTGCGTTTTCCCAACGGGTGTGAATACTTTATTAACGACAAGAGTGAAATCGTGTGAAGAACAAAGAACAAAAGTTAAAGATTTCTTTCGCAATTTCCCCTCATGTCATCATCTCATGACAACCAGTGATAAAACCATAAAATCATTTTATGTATATTTTCTTTGAAAAAAAATTTTAGAAAGCTATATTTATTAGTGAATTGGATTTATTTGTTTAGTCTGTTAATATTTATTAAAAATTATTTTGTTTCTATATTCTGACGTATTTCCGAAGGATTGTGTTTATAAATTAAAAAAAAATTTACATTTCATACTTTCATTAGAAATGAAATGTAAATGTCAACTGAAAAAATTTTGTAATTTGAAAAAAAATAAAAGTGACTTAACATAATTTAATGAATTTAATCAATTTGGATAATTTAAAAGAAATCTCTATGAACTTATTTTTGTTTTGTCATATGAATATGAAAACAATTTTTAGAAATTAAAATCACTATTTAAATATAAAAATGTTCGAGATTGAAACTTGATTTGTTTCTTTACTATTTATAATACTGTTGAGCTATAAAATTAATTGAGTTTTCTCCGGTGCAAAAGGAATGCGAGGATAAACATTAATTTTACATTAATTCAAATTAACTGATTCCACAAAACAAAATCGCATTCTATTTATAATTATTGAAAATTCATTATCTTTGTCAAGAAATAAAAGGATTATGAAAATGAACAACACAATGAGAATGTAATAATTAAATATCCCTAGAGAATCGATATTGTTTTGTTTAAAGAATAATTTGTTTAATTATTTTTAAAAAATTAATAAGTTTGAAAGTTATTTTAACAGGATTTCCATCCCTCTTTCTCTGTTCAATAAAAATGACATAAAATTGTCTCTCTTTAGGTAACAATATTGTTTTTCTTCTTTTCAAAATAAATCACATAATAATGTCTTCCTTTAACTAATTTGCATATCTACTCTTTTCATATAAGAATTATTCCTTAAGGCATTAAAAATTTTGAAGAAGGGTCCAAAGTTAATTCGCAGAAGAACAATGTATTCCATTAGTCAGTAAAATTACATATTCGTCACTTGTTGACGCAAGGAATGCTAGCGAGATAATGCCGGAGCCGCTCTTCAGCGTTCGCCTTTTAAGCGAGAAAAGTAGTCGGGGTAGGGCGGCGCTTGCGCACAGCCCATTAGTGCCGTATACAAGAATCCCATCACTTGCTTCTAAAAATTTTTGTTTGTAAAATCCCTTGAGAACTAAATCTAAATTTTTTATTTTACATTCTGATTTCAAATATAATATATTTTATTAATAAATAAAATAAAACCCAATTCAGAAAATAATGAAACATATAATTTTCTTTTCGATAATCAAGAAAGCATTTTATATTTTTTTTACGAAAAATTACAAACTATTTCAAACAAAATAATTTCTCATTACAACGAGTCTTGAGCAATTTTTAAAACAAATTTTCGTCTCCGCTTATCGAGACTTAAATTATTTCTTGATATTCAAATCTTCAATAATTCATAAATAATTATTCGACGATATAACCTGAAAATAAATATTCTAATTAAAAATTAATAAGTCAAGTTTTAAATAAAAATATATTTTTAAATATTTAATCTTTCTAAATTAAAAATACTGAGCGTAAAAATTTGACGCTTGCCTGAAAGTGATTTGTTATGCCTTGATAAGGATAAACTCCGCCGAGAATATAACGATAGTATCCATTGTGTCGAATTCGATATTCTCCAGGCTCGACATTTTCTGGCACGTTCCAGATAATTGTAACCGTACTGGAACCAAGCATTATCGATTTTCTTGACCAAATAAATCTGCAAGAGGAGGCGAAGAATTATTAATTCATTTTAATAATTACAAATCGAACATACAATCTTCATTACAATAATTAACACTTTATTAATTAAAAATTAATTGCTTTCCACAACAAAGTAGAATTCAGAAAATATTTAAAAATTATCCTACTTGGTTTCCCAATTAGCATCTGTTGCCACAGTACTCCAAATTTCATCATCTTCTAATTTTTCAATTGTCAAAAATGATTTTTCAGTCATTAGATTATTTCTCGGATGACCCGAAATCTGCAAAAAAAAATATATCATAACATTTTCTTTCAATATTAACTCAAATTTTACATTTACTAAACCGATAATGAATAATTTTCATCACAAGATTTTCAAGATGGATAAAAGCTTCATTTACGAAAATACTATTTCACTTGAATGAAAATGTTAATTAAATTTTAAATTAAAATTTTCACATTATGAAACTACTTATTGTTGATAATATGATGAACCTTTTGTTTTTAATGAACAGAAATTTTATATTTATGTTCAGACTGTAAAATAGAAAAACTTTGAAAATAATGATAAATAACTTTTAATTGAAAGGGAAAATTTTATTTAATTAAAAATTCTTTTAAGTATTACAATGGGCTAACATTCATTAAATCACGTTTGTAATTTAAACATATTCAATAAATCGATACTTTTTTATAATATAGTAAAATAGAAGAAATAATTAGAATGGATGTTAAATAATGACGATTTAAAAAAAAGAAATACAATTTTTAAATTATCCGGCAGATTATTAGGCGATCAATGAATGCTTTGAAGTAGAACATTATGTTTAAAACGAGATTGCTCGAATTTACGCAATAGTGAATAACTACATGAAACTGATTTAAATCCGATTATATTGATGTTTACGTAAAATTCTTACATAATCTACTTGTAAACATCTCATAGATTACAATCATATGGATCTTTATTTTTGTCCCTTTTTACTAAAGAGGAGAAAATATTCTTTAAGGCGAATCATTAGAATAGGCGCAACTTGTTGAGTCTCAAGATTTTCAGTTCGTCGCCTTAAGGGTCCCAATCAAAGATTTTGAGCTTAAAAAATTATAACCGGCTCTTTGATTGGGACCCCCAATTGTCATGTTCAAATTTTTCTGAAACTAACAGAACTTTAATCTTTTATTTTATAAATGAATGCTGTCTTTTTTTTATAGCAATCGGAGCTTTATGTAATTGTCTGGGTATTCATTAAGTTGTCGATTTTTATATCAGAAGCGTTAATGAAAACAGATTTGCAACTAGCTTGACCCACAATTATCTGTGGAAGCTCAAAAACGTTGTAACCCTTCTGGATCATTAGTCACTGACATGGCGTTAGGCGCTTGATGACTGGAGTCCATGAGGAAATTAGCCGAAGCATTACCCGGTAGGTATATGTTTTATCCCCGTCGTATAAAGTTTGTGAAATGGCGCTTAACATGCTACTTCCGTTTCCTTCAACGAAAATCAAATCAAATAAAAGATTACAACTGATGACATTACTGAATTGCAATTCCCAAGATGTAATTCACTGAAATTCAATTTAACCTAATTCAGGTCAGCTTTATTTAATTATCATTTGGAGAAAAACGGAATACATGAAATTATTTGAATGCTATCGGATTTCGAATTTTCTTCTTCTTTCCCCACTCCCTAGAATACCCAAACAATTCATCCATCTGAACTGCAATTCAATTGAATACAGTTTGTAAAGGCTTATCATTACTTGCCCCATAGTAAAGTGGAACGTGAGATTACTTCAGTGTAATCCTGAATATTAATTAACATATCTGTTCATTGGATTGATTTATCCCTTGCAAATAATTCATTCACTGAATTGAGGTTAGTTAATAATTCAAAGAGTACGAACTTGATCGACTATGACTAAGTATAAATTCCGAGAACCTGGACTTCTCTAATAATATATAGGAAGGAAGAAATAACCAAAGAAATAAGAGAAAATTAATGAAACTTATTAAGGTACTTACAAATGAAACGGTTACTACATCGCCTGGTCTGACAAATTTCGACGGCTGTTGAAGGCAATCACCAAATTCTTTACCCCATTCAGGAGTGTCATACAAAACCGGTGGTACCAAACTGATAAGACTCGTCTTTCGCAAATCCTTCGGCGATGGTCCAGGATCCAATGGGGTACCCTAAAATTATTTACGAAAATGACAAATGAATTAAGTTAATTTAATTAATAATTAATTAAATTAAGGTAAGTTTCCTTACCTTAAGAGCGGCCTCTGTCAATTCTTTGTATTGTTGCAAGTATATAGTTAAAGTATGTGGTCCGTATATTGTGGAAGCTCCCTCGTATCTTTGAACCTGTTGTTTGAAAAAAAAATTTAATTAATTACTGATTTACAAATAAATGAAGAATTTACACAAAGCGTGATTAAAGTCCAACCTGATACTCTTCCGGTGTTGTTATGTAATCAGTGTACGTATTGCAGAGACCAGCAACAACTACAATCGGGTTTTCTTCCATTCCGCTTTCCTCAATCGTTTCTTTGACTACATTCCGCAATCGTCTACCTGACATAGTCGTAAATTCACCCGGTACACCAGCAATGGCAACATTTCCGATCATTGCCAAGTGAGTGGACACCACATTCGGTTGCCATTGGTAAGGTAAAATCATCTACAAAATTGTATTAATTGGATTACTGGATTAATTGAATTAAAACAGAACTATAGATTGTGTTATTTATGTAATTGCGCGACAAGTCCTTTGGATGCAAATAGTACTTCTAAATTCTAGTAGTTAGATAGGTAACAATAAAAGAGAAGTATTAGCTAAATCTATAGGTTTGTGCTTTAAAAGTTAATGTTCCGAGGAGAGATTTTAATTATAGTAGGGATTCCACTGCGGTACACCATTGACACATTTGTTCCTTCATCTAATCGATATGTTTTTAGTTTTTCTCTCAATCGATGAATCTTCTCATTACTTGTGCCTTCTCCTCCGTTGCACACACAAATTTTAACATCGCTTCTAAGCGATGAAAAAGTTTTTCAAGGTGATATAGATATTCATCGATACTTTGTTATGTACACAGCATGTCGTCGATAAAAGAGATCACAAATTCGCCTAAAACACTTGATACCTGATCTAAAACTATGCTCTAGCTTGTATCTAATCCGCACATTTAGAAACCTATTCTATAATTTAAGTATCTATAATTCTATTCGATTAAATAATGATTTGAATTCTGATAACTATTTATCAAAAGTATAAAAATTTATTTACCCGTCCAGTGGCCAATAAAATGGGTTTCATTCCATGACAATGGATATCGTCATCCGTTGGTGCAGCTATAAAATTACGAACCATATTCCAAAAGGGATTCGGTGTAATAGTACCTTGCTCAAAGGCAAAAGAACCTGGACCGTCAGTTGTTCCGGCAGCAAAACTGTAGCCCATTGCCGGATAACAGCCTTTAATCTATTAATTTTAATATGCAGAATTAATTTAAATTACGTACTAATTTCATTTTATTGGTATAAGAATAGAGTTCTGTAAGAGGACCCCGCAACAAATACATGGGAAAAATACTCTTGGTCAAATTTCTTGTAACTTTGTAATCTTGTAGCTTTCAAACTCCTGAATAAAAAATCTAAATGATAAAATCCAAAAAAATGATCAGATTTTTTGTAAAATAAGGTTAAAGTTTAAAATTCGCAATGAAACAGGTGTAGTTTAGTTAAACCAAAATAAGTGGATTGCTGAACACCGCTCTCAGTCTAATCCAGAGTCCCGAACCGTGGCGGCAACGACACCATTTTTTGTAACTTTTTTGTATTTATTGTACTTTTATATTTTTTGTATTTTTTTGTATTTTATAAAAATAAAACTTTATTTTTTGTCACGAATAACGAGTTGCTTTTTGTAGATAAGAGTTTGAATATTATTTTAATTAGCCAAAAGTCTTTATTTTCTGTTTAGGGGGTTGAGACTAAATGTTATATTTTTTAAAAATAAAATATTTTCATCATTTTTTGCAATAAGGCAGCGAATCAAAGAGTTACTTTTTGTAGATAGGAAAAGTTTGAATAATATTTTTAATGGCCAAAAGTCTTTATTTTCTGTTTATGGGGTTGAGTCTAAATGTTATATTTTTTAAAAATGTAATATTTTCACCATTTTTTTTAATAAGGCAGCGAATCAAAGAGTTGCTTTTCGTAAATAGGAAAAGTTTGAATATTATTTTTAATGGCCAAAAGTCTTTTTTTTCTGTTTAGGGGGTTGAGTCTAAATGTTATATTTTTTAAAAATAAAATATTTTCATCATTTTTTTCAATAAGGCAGCGAATCAAAGAGTTACTTTTTGTAGATAGGAAAAGTTTGAATAATATTTTTAATGGCCAAAAGTCTTTATTTTCTGTTTATGGGGTTGAGTCTAAATATTATATTTTTTAAAAATGTAATATTTTCACCATTTTTTTTTTAAAAGGCAGCGAATCAAAGAGTTGCTTTTCGTAAATAGGAAAAGTTTGAATATTATTTTTAATGGCCAAAAGTCTTTTTTTTTCTGTTTAGGGGGTTGAGTCTAAATGTTATATTTTTTAAAAATGTAATATTTTCACCATTTTTTTTAATAAGGCAGCGAATCAAAGAGTTGCTTTTCGTAAATAGGAAAAGTTTGAATATTATTTTTAATGGCCAAAAGTCTTTATTTTCTGTTTATGGGGTTGAGTTTAAATGTTATATTTTTTAAAAATGAAATATTTTCACCATTTTTTTTAATAAGGCAGCGAATCAAAGAATTGCTTTTTGTAAATGGGAGGAGTTTGAATATTATTATGTTTAAATCTGCAATAAAAGTCTCAACCCCTTTACAGAAATAATGATTTTTGGCCAATCCTCTATTATATGAAGTTGAAGAACGACCGAACGACCGACTGTCTAACTGTGCTCTTGAAATTAAGGATTTATAATGACATTTCAAAAATAAAGTTTTTGGAACTTTTTCTTAAAAAAACAAGATCAATTATAATTGCTATTCCCTAATGACTAGATAAAGAAAGGATGCCTTGAAACTTTTAGAAAGTTTTGGTGAAAAATGACATTTGTAACGATTCACGTACCTCTTCGACCTTTTTCGAGGTTTCGTTAAAAAAATTGGCCTTCTGCTTTGTCATGTCGACAAATCTGTGAACAATACGAATCGGTCCTTTCACCTCCGTTTTGTTGCCATTTTGCCACAAATCCTGTAATCATAAGGAAAATGATATCCGCATTAGTTTATTTAACCCTTTAATTACAATAGATAACAAAACTATATTATAATAATGAACCGAAAGTATTGTTACAATTAGTCTAAAGTTTTCTATTAGTACTGTAAATATTTTACTATAAATTGATGCACTTGGGATTATAAACATAGTAATACCATCATCTACGGATCCACAGTAAAAATATCAAGAAATATATTTATGCATCATTAAATTTTGTGTCGCAAACTTCTTTTATGTCTTCCGCTATAGAGTTACACTTTCTCAATGTATTTTTTTCCCTTTGTGTTTGTGTGCACGTTTATATATATATATAAGTCAAGTTTGTTTGACGTTAAAGTAAGAATGTGTAAACGATATCTCGAGCTGCGTAAGTGCACATAAAAGAGGGCGTTTGTATGTTTGACGAGGCTGTATTATATGCATATACGCAATATCGTAATAGCGACACGCACGAATCGCATCCTTACAGTTGGAAAACTATCTCCTTCTGCCATTATGATGCTAATTCAGACTTTGTCAGGGAGAGTGAAGAGAACCTCAATGTTGCGTTATGCGGCTCTCATTACAATCCCTGAAGATCATGAAAATAAAACAAATGGCATACTGGCATTATTGTGCAATACACGATTTATTCTAATTTATTTTTCGAAATAATTTTTAAAACTTCGTTCTAAATTAGAAGATTTATTTTATATTGTACTTTCTAGGAATCGTTTACTTGCCTATTAAGTAAATTATTTTAATGTCGAGTGATGTTAAATATAAAATATCTTGTGGGAAATTGAAATATTAGTTAATTGTTACGTTCAGTTTAAGCAAGCCTTTTTTTAGAAAAAAAAATCAGATATTTCGTCTGATAAATATTTTTAAATGGTGGTCAGTGAACAGCCACTGACTTCAAAATAATAAAATATGTCCAAGGGGAAAATTTCATAAGCTCCTAGCATCCATCTATTTATGAAATGTTTCAGTCTCTAAAATCCTTGTAATTAATTCTGACCCAGCCAACATTAAGATCGATTTAAAAATGAATAAATGAAGAACCTGTGATTCACATTGATTATTTCTGATATACATAAAAGTGAAGTGAAGTCATATTTACTTGGGAGCGGACATCTTTATAGGTTCACACGAGATGCAAGCAACGACGTACATGTGTGTGTATATAATATACCACTGAGCCTTCTTTTGAATTGACATTGAATTCCTTGTCATTGGTAATTGGTTGACACATAGATCGAAGTATTTGATTTCCTTCAAGGCAACCAAATCGAGAAACTTTTTCTTCGATCGACATTTAACGTTTCCTTTGACTTCACAACAATCGTACCGAATCTTCTATACCCGTGCAGAAATTTTGACCGGGGCCATGGCACTTTGCCCGATCTGGCCGCCCTGTCGGGACCCGGTCGGGGCCATGGGATTTCCCCCGATCTTTTCGCTACCCAGGTAGAATTCCAATACTGACTGCATTTTATTATATTAAAGCTTGTTATTTGATTATTAAAGAATGGGGAGTATTTACTTCAATATTAATGATTATTATTAATATTTTTGTAGTAAATAAACTTTTATGAGTGTCATTAAAAATGTAAATAGTTATTAGAATTGCTTTTATTGGACTAAGTTTTTAAAAAAAATATTTTTCTTATTTTCTTTCATTAATTTAGACAGACTATCTTATTTAAATTAATAATTATTTATAATTATTATTATTGTTAATAATTATTTAAACCTATACTTTATGTAACATTATTAAGAATTATACACAAAACACTTAAAACTAAGACGGAAAAATATCGCACGCACGGGGGACCGAACCCTAGACCTCGAGGACGCAAGTCGAATACACATACCGCATAGCCACGCAAGCTTGGAAGCGACCTCGCTTAAACTTCCTTTTGAATCATGGGACCGTTATATACAGTGTTATCATAATAAATTGACTGTATCATATTTATTTATAGAAAAATTATTAAAAATGTATGTTATATATATATATATATATATATATATATATATATATATATAAATTAATATGTTTATCATAATAATATGGTAAAAATTGTTAATTTAATTATTTATTCTATATTATTTATAATTTAACTATTTTTTAAAATAATAAAAATTTTTTCATTATTAATAATTCACAATAATACTAAAAATTATTAATTAATAATAATTTATTTTTTTGCCTTAAACATGGAATTTCAATTTAAGTGTGAAAAACAATTAAGAGTTTTTAAGAGTTATAAATGTCAAAAATAATATGTTAATATTATAACCACAAAAAAATTTAACATTTTAGGCAATATTTTTGGTTATCACCATGATAACATCGACAAATGGTTCACCTTCGACAATTGGTGCGTTTGTCCTATTGTTTTAAATTAAAGGAGAATAAATTCTTAAGACATCCCTCGAGGACAATTTTTGAGTTTTTAATTGTTTATAATTTTTATTTTCAAATTTCAATCAAAGTTAACAAATTAACACAATTTTTTAAAAACGGACGTTTATTTTCTTATTCCGTTACTGCACATGCTCTAAATCAGTTCAAATTAATCCAATATTACCAGCAGACAATTAAAAACCCATAAAGTAATATATTTCAATTGTCATAAACAACATTAATTAACAAATAGTTAACTTATGATCCTGTCCAACAGAAAATTTTTGTTGCAAATTTTCTTTTTTACTTAGGTTCTTTTAAAGAATATATGTCTTTTTTGCTTATAATATAACTTATTTAAATATTTAATATTATATATCCGTGGTCTTTTAACATTATCTAAATAAAAAAGTAAACGTGAAAAAAAAATTTTTGGTGGAAAGGAACAAAAATTAACTATTTGTTAATTAATATTATTTGTAACCATTTAAATAAGTTATTTTTTAAACAAAAAGGACACATATTTTTAAAATGAACTTAAATTAAAAAGTAGACGTGAAAAAAAATTTTTTTGGTGGACAGGAGCATAAGTTACATAACTATTTGTTATTTAATATATTGTTTATAACAATTTAAATAAGTTATTTTTTAATCAAAAAGGACAAATATTCTTTAAATAGACTTAAATTAAAAAGAAAATGTGAAAAAAAAATTTTTAGTGGAATAGGAATCAATGTTAACTATTTGTTAATTAATATTGTTTATAACAATTTAAATAAGTTATTTTATAATCAAAAAGGGCAAATATTCTTTAAATGAACTTAAATTAAAAAGAAAAGGTAAAAAAAAACATTTTTTAGTGGAAAGAAATCAAAGTTAACTATTTGTTAATTAATATTGTTTATAACAATTGATATAAATTACTTTCTGTTTTATTAATTATATGGTGGTCATATTGTATTAATTTGAACTGATTCAGATCATATGCAGCAACGGAATAAGAAAATAAGCCTCCTTTTTTGAAAAATTGTATTAATTTGTTAACTTTGATTGAAAATAAAAATTATAAACAATTAAGAACTAAAAAATTGACCTTAAGGGATGTCTTAAGAATTTATTCGCCTTTAATTTAAAATAAAGAATACTGAAACCGGTTAAGAATTGTAGGCTGTAGACAGTTTTGAACAGTAAATTGTAAAAAAAATCCCATTGTGCGCTGTTTGTAGATCCTTGGGCAAACCCGGTCTGGTCCTGGTCGGGGCCACGAAGTCGGGGCCAGATCATGAAATCCCGACCGGGGCCAGGGCGGTAATCGGGAACAAAAGTGGCGATTTCTGCACGGGTATAAAACGAATGAGCAAAAGAGAGAAAGAAGACAGAGAATATATAAAGAGGGGGGGAAACTCTCAGTATAATACTTTCATGAGGGTGCAGCTATTTGTTTATTTCAACATTACACTCGATAATTGACAGAAATATTATTCTTACTATTGTTTTGTTGCTATTATAATTATTTTTTATTGATTACCTTTATTTCTAATGCTACAATAATAATAAGATAAAAGTTTTGCTTTCGATTGTTATTATTTTCCAAGTCTTTCTTTAACTATAGATAAAATTAATTTTTCCACAAGAAATGTAAATGTATTTTTTGGCGAGTTAATTGATGCGATAAAATAAAGGTAATATCGAAGGTTATCGTATCTATGGGATAGTGATGCAATGGAATAACAGTGACCCGAAAGAGATGTATATATAATAGTACAGGCAAAACAAGAGACTCGGTAAATTCAAGGCTTTGTGAAATACACAATTAACCTTCTTCTGTAAAGTAATTAAATATCATAGTGTGACTATTTAAATTTTTTCCTTGATCTCCATTTAATTACATAGATTTCTAACGAAATAATAAATAATAATCGGCTATTAACTACTCTCGAAATATTTTTCCAATAAAAATTTTCTATTAGTTTACAAAAATAATAAATTATTTTCAGTCTTTTTAAATCTCGAGGGCTTTTTTTAATTTTCCGGATCTGCTTTACCGACTGAACACCAAAACAAAAGCAGTCGACCCACATAACCTTGAATTTAATATCTAAATCTACAGACTTTGCACTTTCCAACAAAAAACAACTAAAATCTAATTAAAGACAGTAGGGTTAAAAACTTTTTCTATTTCAAGATTCTTGGGGATACAAGTAAAGCATGCGACTTGAATTTCAAAGTGGAAATTGATTAGATTGTTACAAATGCAATTTTACTGGTACTAAATAAACCGTTGAAAGCTTTAGAAGAACGAAAATAGAGTAAAGAATTTTTCTTTAATGGTGCTCCATTCATAAATGTCAACTGTTTCAGCTTTTTTCATTTTTTTGAAAATTATATCTCAGTAAATGGATGAGTATAAATGTTGTCTCGCAGTTTTTAAGATGAAACGAAAAGAAAGCTAATTGGAAATTAAATTTTAATGAAGGGTTAAATATTTAAAGTATCATAAAGGTGGAATTTCGTACAATTTGAAAATATTAACAATTATAAAGAAAATGTTTTTAAAAGTATTTTCTGTCCAATATCTTTG